TGAAAAATTGATTTATTACAAACACGGTTCGAATTAAGAACTGATTCACAATACGTAACAGGATTCTGGAGATATAAAATTCAACCAGAATTTCAAAAAGGACGATTAATTCGATGGCAATTAGAATTACATCAATTTGAACCATATATTAAATATATTAAGTCCGCAAATAATTGTTTTGCAGACACTCTAACAAGAGAATGGAAGGAATAATCAAGACAATTCAGAATCAGATCAGTCAGAAAGACAATCAGATTAAAATGATTCAAGAAAATCTCTCAAAACTCTTTGAGGAGAGGGAGGAGCTGATCAAATCTTTGAACATTATCATAAAAGCAACTGGTGGAACACCGGTAGAAGATCAAAAATCAGAACAAGAAAAAGAATCAGATAAGGTAACACTTCCTACCGACATCAAGGTGGAAGAAAAACCGAACAAATGGTACGCTATCTTTAGTGGACCATTCAGAGGAATATACGTAGATTATGCGATATTTTCGCAACATACCAACGAAAAGAAAGTCTCACACCAGGCTTTCCAAACCAAAGAAGAAGCCCAAAAAGCCTTGAACGAATCATACAAAACCATGACCCAAAAACAACCAGTTGAACCAAGGGCACAACTACCCTCAATGAAAATACCCAAAATAGCCCAAATACCAACCACACAGGAAAAAGAGGCCCTGAAAAAGGTAACCCTCGAGAAGTATCAGTCCTACTGGGCGTCTCGAAACCATGTGACTAGTTGATGTAATATGTCGGACCCAATAAAAGATAAGGTGATCAGAAACCTTATCTCTGTAATCTATATTGTGCAATTATGTAGTGTCGAGTGTAAGAGTCGGGCCCCAGCATGAGATTCCATTCTTAGCTGATAAGGGTTCCAAAGCTGTATAAATATGTGACCTCTCCATTTGGAGAAGGCAGAGTGAAATAAACGAATTTGTTTCAGAACTCTCTGAAAGATCTCTCTCAAGAGATTGGCTTGAAGATCTATATCTTCTGGAGGCCTTGAATAAATTCTTTTGAATCACAAACCGATTACTCCAGAACTCTGGAACTAAACACCACCCCTGAACAATATCAAAAAACCGATCAGATCTCCGGATCACCAACAAGGAAACGATCATCACCAACACCAACCGACAGGGATTATCTACAAAAGCGAATCAAGTATGACATCAACTTCTGCATTCGATAATTTTATACAATCAGATGAAGAATGTTTCTTTGATGGAATTATAGACATAAACAAAATACGAAAAATAAGTTTTGATCTTCAAAAAGATGAAAACTTCGAACAGACTATACTAGGAAAAATAAAGAAACAATTATCGAGAACAAACATAATAAAGTTCGGAATAATGGTAGGAGAAACACCAGTACCGATTGAACAAACTACAGGAGAACTCATTCTACCAATTATTAACAAAGAACAAATCTTAGAACGGCTCAGAAATTGTCCCGAAAAACAGAAACCATGTGACTAGTTGATGTAATATGTCGGACCCAATAAAAGATAAGGTGATCAGAAACCTTATCTCTGTAATCTATATTGTGCAATTATGTAGTGTCGAGTGTAAGAGTCGGGCCCCAGCATGAGATTCCATTCTTAGCTGATAAGGGTTCCAAAACTGTATAAATATGTGACCTCTCCATTTGGAGAAGGCAGAGTGAAATAAACAAATTTGTTTCAGAACTCTCTGAAAGATCTCTCTCAAGAGATTGGCTTGAAGATCTATATCTTTTGGAGGCCTTGAATAGATTCTTTTGAATCACAAACCGATTACTCCAGAATTCTGGAACTAAACACCACCCCTGAACAATATCAAAAAACCGATCAGATCTCCGGATCACCAACAAGGAAACGATCATCACCAACACCAACCGACAGGGATTATCTACAAAAGCGAATCAAGTATGACATCAACTTCTGCATTCAATAATTTTATACAATCAGATGAAGAATATTTCTTTGATGGAATTATAGACATAAACAAAATACGAAAAATAAGTTTTGATCTTCAAAAAGACGAAAACTTCGAACAGACTATACTAGGAAAAATAAAGAAACAATTATCGAGAACAAACATAATAAAGTTCAGAATAATGGTAGGAGAAACACCAGTACCAATTGAACAAACTACATGAGAACTCATTCTACCAATTATTAACAAAGAACAAATCTTAGAACGGCTCAGAAATTGTCCCGAAAAACAAAGAAAACAAATAGCCTACATACACTGTAGTACTATTCAAATAATTATAAAATCAACATTCAAAGAAGGTATCGATTCCCCGATTATCTTTCAAATTAGAGATGACAGATTAACCAATTATAAAGAAAGTATTATAGCCGAAGAAAAAGGAAATCTTTCTTCTGCGAAAATTAAATTTAACATCAATATACAACTCAGATTATCATTAAAAGATAAAGATTTGGATAATTCAATAGTTATCCAATACAAACTAGATAGAACATATTTCATGGAAAAAGGAAATCACCCTTTTTCTATAACCTATCAGATTAACTACGCATTAACCAATAGTCATCACAGACTTTAGAAACAAAGATATTATAGAAATAGATGACTTATTTAAACCAGTAATCTATTTAAAAAGACCACTAACAGCAATAGAACCAGGACGAAAATCGTTGTTACGACTTAACCCAAGATTAAGTATACAAGAATCACCATCTCTATTATTCAACACTGAACAATCAGAAGAAAACCAGGAAGATTACTCTAAATTACGAAAAACAATATCACAAATCAACAATCTTACAAAATGAATTTCAACGAAGACTTTATCAAAAAATTATCCCTATTAAATCTTGAAAGTTTACCATGTCTAGATCATCTTGAACAATTATTAGTTGAAACTATAGAAAGTATATTTAAAGAACGAACTTATGGAACAATCGAACGAAATGAACTTAATGAAGAAAATAGAAGAATAAAAATGATCAGTTCAATATTTAACGCAGTAAGAGAAATTAAAAGAGACATTATCGAAAACAATAACGATTAGAATGTAAAAAATATATAAGAAAAATATTGAATTATTAAACAAACCAATATAATATTTCGAAACAGAAAATAATGTAAGAGATATGCAACGAATAATAGAAAAAAACAAATTAATAATATAATTACAGAATTAAATAAATTAATTACAATAAAAGAAATAAAAGAAATAAAAGTTGAATACTTCAGAAAACGTCCATCGAAAAATAATTATAACTGACATTGACTTCCATTTTTAGAAGAAACATTAAATCGAATAAGAAAAATACTAAATTTTTTCGAAAACCAATTAAAATCTTTTGAATAAAATAATAATAAAAAAATAATTATTATATTCAAAGATAAAAGGACTATTCTATCGACTATTTCAGTAAAAACTCACCACAGAGGGCAGCTAAAATCAGACAACAATTTTCAGAATTTATTGACGATGCATGTGATAAATTCTTTTACAAATCTATATTCGATTTGAGCCGTTGGTGGTAACGGGAAAATGTTTTGCATCTCATGCTACGCTATTTAGGATCTTTCTACAAACTTTTAGCGAACAAAATATCCAACTTGCTATAGGCCACGAGTACAGTGTACTAGTGGCAAACAGCAGTACATGACAATTGAAATGTCGAAACAAAGCCATAGACATTGAGGTGATTAGGCGTCTCTCATGAGCGACCGTACCCAAATTGATCTTAGACCATTGGTTACCTATACCTTTCATAGACGCGATGCATAAGAATCAAAAGGATGATCATTAAAAGCTGTAAACAATGCAGGATCATATCATAGAAATTCCTAACCCGTTTGACAAAACCATGGGGATGCACCTATGCAATGTTCACTTCTTACATCAAGAAATGAGGACCCACTGGCAAGCAATCACATGAGTTGATCTTGATAACCACAATCTTGTAATTATCTCTGTGTTTCTCTCAAGCCATCTTACTTTTGGCTACTAGAGACTTGGAAGAGCTGCTTATATTCCTGAAAAAAAGAGCTCGGTTTACTCACAGAGGCGCTTTACTCAAAAACCTTTTTGTTTCAACAGAGCAAGTTCCAAAGTAGCAAAGCAGGAGATATATCATGAAGGTAATTACCAAAATCCATTATACTGAGTAATAATGATCTTCCATGCTGTTGTTAACTCCTAAAACTCTCTGATGCAGTTACTGGGCTGGATGCACCGGAAGTTCAGACAGAATAGCAATGAATCACTCAAGGATTTTGTCATTGGTTAGTGCTCCTCTGCCATGGTTTTGCATATGAAAGTGTAAAAGTAGAGATATGGACCCCCAATGTTACATTTGGAATTGATTAGGATGACGTAGAAAATCTGAAAATGGGGAAATAACGTTCATGAAGGCCTGCATAGCACCATGTTGTACATGCTACTCGTAGACTTGTGTTGAACACATGCTGCTAGATATGTACAGAGGCTTCCTTTTCAAATCATGTATTGCATGTCAACACACTTAATACCCTAGTGAAAACCACAGTTAATATAATATACGCATGAAAATTACCTTGATAGGAAACATTCTCAGGGATAAATTTAGAACCATCCCACTCTGCTTTTGACATTATTTTATCAGAAAATTCTGGGAGCAACGTTTATGGATTAGGTAGAGACGATTTGAAAATGGAGGACCAACAAATCTATATACACATATCGTGGTTGTTTGATCAAGGAGTTGTGAACTTGTTTGTTTAGTAATATGTTTTGATGTTTTTTATTATAAGATATCGTTATTATAATGTTATTATTATGTTTTTTTTTATAATCTGAAACTTCTAACGGAACTTTTTAGAGAGAATTAGGGAAGTCCATATGATTACCCTTCATCCCAAGTAAAGATTCCAATTCGGGATGAGATAAGAATGAACTATGCTCATTTTCTTATTGTTGAGACACCCAATCTTAGATTCGTTATTATAATGTTACATATTTGTATAGATTTTATAATATTGATATTTCAGGAAAAGGTTATGTTCGTGTTACTTTCCTTCGATGAACCAACCAGATAACGAATACTACAAGAATGTGACACTGTTAATAGCGTGGCTGACAAGAAATTGCAGAAATCATGTTATATATGTTATTGCATTTTTTTTCTTTTTTGAAAAATAATTTCAATTCGAAGGATGGTTAGATTTGATGGATAAAGTAAAGTAAAGAGAGATTCTCATGGGGAGGGAGAGGTGGCTCTCTCTTTCAACTCAACCATTTTTGTCCTCATGATGTTAAAGTTTATTAACCACCACCTCTGACAAATGAGTAAAACATGCTTAGGACAGAGAAAAAAAAGGACTAGTTCATAAGTTTTTATATTTTTATTTTGATATGATGACAATTGTGAACCCAAATCAAATTGGAGATAGATAACTTCATTTTATTATTACTTATTAGAATTATATTTAACTTGGTACTGTCCAGATCCCGGATGAATAGAAAGTTGGATCTACATTGAATATCACCTAAATTGCCCCATCTATCCTTATGAGGAGAAGTTTGGTTTTAAACTCCAGTTCAAACACTAATGTGTCTTGGATGATCCACATTTGGAAGAAGGGAGGAAATTCTCGAACGAGGAAAGGGACCAATGACATAGATTAAGGATATATACAAAAATTTTGCAATAATTTTAGAAACAAATAGTTTTCAAAGTAAACAAATTTATACTAAAAACTTTAGAAACAAATAGTTTTCAAAGTAAACAAATTTATATTAAACCCATCTCTTGCAATAGTATTGTGGATGGATAATTCGGATTTTGGTTCGGTATTTGGCGTATTCGGTTCAATATCTATACGATTTGGTTTGGAAACAATTTATTCGTTTTTATAAAAAAAATATACCAAATCAGAACTAAACATTATTCATTTCGGTTCAGAATGGAACTAAATTCCCGAACTGAAGTGTCCACCCTAAAACGTATCACACAAAGAAAAACAGAGGACAGAAGCTCTTTTAAAAACATGTTTCTGGTAGTAACAGAAACTGGAAACTGAATGAGATTTGATACATAGACTTGCAGAGATTCTCAATATGACCAAACCTGAGATTGAATTGCTCAAAAGAAAGAAAAAAAAAGGACCCAATAATTTCAAATGATCAAGGACCAATGTTTCCTCAGTTCAAAAGGGTCGTTTTTTTTTTCTGGATATTGTCTGTGTTTTGGGCATAACCCGAAAACGATCTGTCTCCTGAAAGTGGCTGCTACTGGTTTTAGTATGTGAAAGTAGTGATTCCCTAGTTCAAGAAGTGTGAAACAGATGTCCAAAAGCTTCAGTCCAGAGGGCAAAATCATTGATAAGATATGGCAACCACCAAAGAGTCTACTACGCACCAAATATTATCCACAGATTATGCAAAAAATGGGAAAGAGGGTAAGAAAATTTAGTACCCCCAAAGATTTGTGGTGTGAGTTGATGTTACAGCAAACATGTCTTGTTCATCATTGCAGACATTGTGCAAGGGACCACCCCAAAAAGAAAAACCCCATCTTGATCATCAGAATCTGCATGTAGGATAAAACAAACATAGGGGGACAAAAGTATGTGCGTTGATTAAGGAAGTTTAGATAATACATGCAAAGATATTTAGATCAAAACTTAATTACTGAGCTAATAGTATCCAATTTACCTGCTTCTAGAAACCACGTCATGAATCAATCATCACATTTCTGCAACGTAACACCCCATGGTTTGAAGCAAAACCCAAATTTCAGTTATGAATCAAACATGGGTACTTTCTCTTACAGTCACAGTGCCTGCAAAACCCAAATCAACTCGGTTCTTCTAAGAGCACGGACGGTAGTAGGCCTCATATACAGTATCATGATTACATACCAGCTAGTTTATTAAGAAAAAGTTCTGCTCATGATCGTGTAAAGGTGATTTTGGATCTAATACGAAAAGGGTAGTGTTAATGCATCATGTTGAAGGCCTACGCTTCTGCAGGATTGGTTCGGACATAGCATGGCATGAATCCATATTGGTATCTTTTTATGTCCCGGCAATGGTTAGGTTCCAATAACTGAAAGAAGCACATGCATGAGAGGGTCCAGGGACCCTATGATGTACTTTTGCCGCAGAAAGATCAAGACATGTCAAAACACTATATTAGATTATGACCAGACCTCTCTAGATATCCCATATTGGAGAAAGTAGCGACTAGACATGCCTTGGGCTCTTTACTTGGACTAGTCTGATTATCAGATACTCTACTGTACACACCAAGATAGAATCACTAACCTCAATCATGGAAAAAAGTGGTGTTGTATTGAGCCACTGAATCCAGCTCTAAGTCTGACCCCAACGACTATTCTACGCATTTTCGCCTAATCAAGTTAAATGAATCCACCAATATGATATCGAGAACTACAACCTCTAAAACCTTCTACAGGATCATCATATTGTATAACCTTTAACTAATACTGAGGAGTAATCGGGAATCGGTTCTTTGCCCAGAAAAAATCGGGAATCGGATATAAAACATTGTGAAAATCGTGGAGACAGGTTGTATGACCAAACCCATTTACCTGGTTGGCGGCTTGCAAGTTGTGTTGGAAAGACATACAAGAATAGGGTGCATGTGACATGAATGAATGGACCTCACATTGCCCTTTTAAGTTCCTCGTAAAACAGTCATCAATTTGTACCTCTAGTTACATGTTGGCTACTCAACTAGCATGGCACAGAATTCCATCTGTTCCTGCACACGGAAAATGTTTAATCCAGGTCACTATGCATGAGTTACATGGGTTTACAAAACCTATGTAACAGTACCGACGTATAAAAACCTAGAAAAATGGGAAATTTCATTGACCCAAAACTTATCAACTAAAGGGACCTTGCAGTAACTAAAACCCACGACAGAAGTTTACTGATATTTTCTGGTAACGTTTGCTTCCAGAAATAAAAAAACATTCTCCTGGGGTCCCCATCACTGGACAGTGTAATTAGTAAATGATTTCGATACTTGTTCGTATCGAATGAGAACTTCTGTCAGCAATCTATAGAAATCAGTTAGTTTTATGGCCGCAGTGACATACTACCAAACCAGCACTTCCAAAGGAAAAACGATCCATAGCTATCAGTAAGAGTAATCAAAGCTGAAATTGACCCAGAGGCCTAGAATGAAACATTTGTCATTGGCATCCAAGCTTACCACACTCTAGCTTATTTTTGCAGATATATTTATCTGACAAGCTCCTCTCAATTAGTCCAATAAAAGTTCCACAAAGTTCTTTTACCATGAAAACTTACATGGGTAATAGATGCTGAAGTTACCTTTTCTATCTTCATCGTTCTATGGGAGGACTTGTAAGAACAGCAATTCACCTCCTATGGTTCTGACAGACATCAACTCTCCTCTATGGAGAAAGCAAACGCAAGCTACAGGACAAAAATCTTCGTAATAGATAATTCTCCCTGCAGATACTTTCGGAAAGCTCAGGCAAATCATGCACTTCAATCTTCAAGTTAGAATAGGAGTAGAATCATTTACAAGATATCCATTGTGACTATGTTGCCACAACTCTTTAGTGCTCCATACATGGTTATATTTTCTTGGAAAACTTATAGAGGTGAGATACATTATTACCAATGATTACCCTTCCCTGTTTCTGGAGGTTGCATGATAAAATTCAATTTCAGTTTCACAACAGCGAACTCATTTAGACATAGACGCAAGTTGAATGGCCAAAATAAAGAGAGCCCACTTCATCATGCTAATTATTTGCAGCAACCAATTGTAGGGTGATTATATGGGAGCTCTTACCAGATTGAATCATTGAACATACTTAATTATACAGAAATGCTTTCAGGAAGAAGGAAAGAAGGTAACCGTAAGAAAACAAACGAGTTAGTTTTCATAGAAAAAAACAGAAGTCTAGCCAAGATTAAATCAGATTCAAGTTGCAACTATTCCTGAGAGTGCCATCACATTGTAAGCAAACAATCCTTATTATGGAATGGTAGTACCTTTGATGCATTCAAGTCATTCCATTTCCGGACACTATGTATATAACCTGCATGATTAACACACCATGGTAAACTGAACATGAACATCTTCAACAAGGAAGAGACGGTAATTGGACTATTCTATCGACTATTTCAGTAAAAACTCACCACAGAGGGCAGCTAAAATCAGACAACAATTTTCAGAATTTATTGACGATGCATGTGATAAATTCTTTTACAAATCTATATTCGATTTGAGCCGTTGGTGGTAACGGGAAAATGTTTTGCATCTCATGCTACGCTATTTAGGATCTTTCTACAAACTTTTAGCGAACAAAATATCCAACTTGCTATAGGCCACGAGTACAGTGTACTAGTGGCAAACAGCAGTACATGACAATTGAAATGTCGAAACAAAGCCATAGACATTGAGGTGATTAGGCGTCTCTCATGAGCGACCGTACCCAAATTGATCTTAGACCATTGGTTACCTATACCTTTCATAGACGCGATGCATAAGAATCAAAAGGATGATCATTAAAAGCTGTAAACAATGCAGGATCATATCATAGAAATTCCTAACCCGTTTGACAAAACCATGGGGATGCACCTATGCAATGTTCACTTCTTACATCAAGAAATGAGGACCCACTGGCAAGCAATCACATGAGTTGATCTTGATAACCACAATCTTGTAATTATCTCTGTGTTTCTCTCAAGCCATCTTACTTTTGGCTACTAGAGACTTGGAAGAGCTGCTTATATTCCTGAAAAAAAGAGCTCGGTTTACTCACAGAGGCGCTTTACTCAAAAACCTTTTTGTTTCAACAGAGCAAGTTCCAAAGTAGCAAAGCAGGAGATATATCATGAAGGTAATTACCAAAATCCATTATACTGAGTAATAATGATCTTCCATGCTGTTGTTAACTCCTAAAACTCTCTGATGCAGTTACTGGGCTGGATGCACCGGAAGTTCAGACAGAATAGCAATGAATCACTCAAGGATTTTGTCATTGGTTAGTGCTCCTCTGCCATGGTTTTGCATATGAAAGTGTAAAAGTAGAGATATGGACCCCCAATGTTACATTTGGAATTGATTAGGATGACGTAGAAAATCTGAAAATGGGGAAATAACGTTCATGAAGGCCTGCATAGCACCATGTTGTACATGCTACTCGTAGACTTGTGTTGAACACATGCTGCTAGATATGTACAGAGGCTTCCTTTTCAAATCATGTATTGCATGTCAACACACTTAATACCCTAGTGAAAACCACAGTTAATATAATATACGCATGAAAATTACCTTGATAGGAAACATTCTCAGGGATAAATTTAGAACCATCCCACTCTGCTTTTGACATTATTTTATCAGAAAATTCTGGCACACATGTACCTGGACAGCCGCCACACCCTGAGCAATACTGCTACGCTAAACCAATTTATGGAACCAAATTCTACGGACAGAACCCGCCAGATTACTTCAGAAAATCCTTTGCCGGCATTGAAGCAACACAAGTTGATGAAGAAGATCATGAAGATGAAGAGTCAGCAGTAGTTTCTGAGATCTTCCATGGCTTTCTTGCAATTGGCACCCTTGGCTCAGACCCTAATGTCAGTACCCCATCAACACCGACATTCACCATCTCCTTAGAGAATGAGACTGGAAAGGAAACAGAGGTAACAGAAAGAGAACTGAAACTCCTTAATGATAATTTGGAGAAGATTCTTGGAGCTGAAGTCAAAGAAGAGATATGTGATGCCTCTTCGGGGAGAAACAGTCATGTCAGTGCTGGCAGAAGCAGCCAAGGAAGTACCATCACTCTAACTGGGAAGACTTTGGAGATTCCGGAGACCAACCGCAGTGGAAGTAATGTCTGTCCTCTCCAGGGATATCTCTTTGGATCAGCAATTGAAATGTCGGAAACAACAACAGCAAAGAAGGAACATAGGACATCTCTGAGAGAGCTGTTTCAAAAGACTAAAATAACGGATGAGTACAGTGGAGGAAGGTGTGAGAGAGATGAAAAACGAACAGAGAAGGATGCACATAAATCAGCAGTCAATATGATGAAAAAGATGCTGAAGAAAAAAGTTCCACAAGTATCCAGAAGCTCCACAGCAGCATATGCTCGAGAAGCAAATTCATCCTCGGCGGAAACAAAACTTAACAAGGTACACCTAATAAACTCTAAAACGATATCCTCAGTTCCATTCTTCATAAGGCTGTGACAGATAATTAACTTTGACAGTAACAGTATAACATTTGAGGTAAGATATGAAGCTAATTATTGATGAAAGCAAGATACTGACAACGGCTAGTTATATGAGTTTTGATCAACATGACAAGAAATCTCTGGCCTCTAAGCTTCGGCAGTGAATGTACAAGGATATCGGTTTGCTTCAAAGCCGTATTTTGATACTTTTAGTTGCATGTGGCATGTTTTTCATGTTTCCGTACATGGCATGTAGATCCTACACATATTTCACAGAAAAGTGCATCCTGAAAGTTCAACAGCAAGTAAAATGCCCATGAAACTCCCCAAAGACAAAAAGAAGCACAGGAGCATCTCTTCTGATGGTGCAAGCAATGATGAAGGCTGGACTTTCCCGAAAAGTGACACTATGGCACTTGCTCAGGGTGCCATTCCTGATGACAAGGGGACAAGAAACTGCTACAAGAGCCAGTTCAATACTCAGTTCACTTTAAAAAGTGACTCAAACGGGAACAGGGAGTTCTGGATCAAATCAGATGCAGACTGTAAGTTAAAAAAAGAAGAAGCCACATTCTCTATCATAAAACCCATGCCATCTAACACCACAGTTGTATATACTCAATCTTTGACTGTTGCTGCAGATTTGGTATTGGAGCTCTAAGTCAAACGCTCGGCTGCTGGATGGTTATTGGTTATCAGTGGTCAGTCTCAAGTATGAGGCACTACCCTATCATCAAATCTACTTATTAATGTTTACCCTTGTCCATATATGAACCATATGGTGTGCATGTCTAAGAGAATCCGAGACCGAGAATAAGAAATTATCGTGTGTGTGTGTGTTCTGTCGTGTATTTCCAACCCCCATGTTGATTATTGTGGTGTATGCTCATTGCTCAATATATGTGATGCCTCTTCGGGGAGAAACAGTCATGTCAGTGCTGGCAGAAGCAGCCAAGGAAGTACCATCACTCTAACTGGGAAGACTTTGGAGATTCCGGAGACCAACCGCAGTGGAAGTAATGTCTGTCCTCTCCAGGGATATCTCTTTGGATCAGCAATTGAAATGTCGGAAACAACAACAGCAAAGAAGGAACATAGGACATCTCTGAGAGAGCTGTTTCAAAAGACTAAAATAACGGATGAGTACAGTGGAGGAAGGTGTGAGAGAGATGAAAAACGAACAGAGAAGGATGCACATAAATCAGCAGTCAATATGATGAAAAAGATGCTGAAGAAAAAAGTTCCACAAGTATCCAGAAGCTCCACAGCAGCATATGCTCGAGAAGCAAATTCATCCTCGGCGGAAACAAAACTTAACAAGGTACACCTAATAAACTCTAAAACGATATCCTCAGTTCCATTCTTCATAAGGCTGTGACAGATAATTAACTTTGACAGTAACAGTATAACATTTGAGGTAAGATATGAAGCTAATTATTGATGAAAGCAAGATACTGACAACGGCTAGTTATATGAGTTTTGATCAACATGACAAGAAATCTCTGGCCTCTAAGCTTCGGCAGTGAATGTACAAGGATATCGGTTTGCTTTCAGGAAGAAGGAAAGAAGGTAACCGTAAGAAAACAAACGAGTTAGTTTTCATAGAAAAAAACAGAAGTCTAGCCAAGATTAAATCAGATTCAAGTTGCAACTATTCCTGAGAGTGCCATCACATTGTAAGCAAACAATCCTTATTATGGAATGGTAGTACCTTTGATGCATTCAAGTCATTCCATTTCCGGACACTATGTATATAACCTGCATGATTAACACACCATGGTAAACTGAACATGAACATCTTCAACAAGGAAGAGACGGTAATTGGACTATTCTATCGACTATTTCAGTAAAAACTCACCACAGAGGGCAGCTAAAATCAGACAACAATTTTCAGAATTTATTGACGATGCATGTGATAAATTCTTTTACAAATCTATATTCGATTTGAGCCGTTGGTGGTAACGGGAAAATGTTTTGCATCTCATGCTACGCTATTTAGGATCTTTCTACAAACTTTTAGCGAACAAAATATCCAACTTGCTATAGGCCACGAGTACAGTGTACTAGTGGCAAACAGCAGTACATGACAATTGAAATGTCGAAACAAAGCCATAGACATTGAGGTGATTAGGCGTCTCTCATGAGCGACCGTACCCAAATTGATCTTAGACCATTGGTTACCTATACCTTTCATAGACGCGATGCATAAGAATCAAAAGGATGATCATTAAAAGCTGTAAACAATGCAGGATCATATCATAGAAATTCCTAACCCGTTTGACAAAACCATGGGGATGCACCTATGCAATGTTCACTTCTTACATCAAGAAATGAGGACCCACTGGCAAGCAATCACATGAGTTGATCTTGATAACCACAATCTTGTAATTATCTCTGTGTTTCTCTCAAGCCATCTTACTTTTGGCTACTAGAGACTTGGAAGAGCTGCTTATATTCCTGAAAAAAAGAGCTCGGTTTACTCACAGAGGCGCTTTACTCAAAAACCTTTTTGTTTCAACAGAGCAAGTTCCAAAGTAGCAAAGCAGGAGATATATCATGAAGGTAATTACCAAAATCCATTATACTGAGTAATAATGATCTTCCATGCTGTTGTTAACTCCTAAAACTCTCTGATGCAGTTACTGGGCTGGATGCACCGGAAGTTCAGACAGAATAGCAATGAATCACTCAAGGATTTTGTCATTGGTTAGTGCTCCTCTGCCATGGTTTTGCATATGAAAGTGTAAAAGTAGAGATATGGACCCCCAATGTTACATTTGGAATTGATTAGGATGACGTAGAAAATCTGAAAATGGGGAAATAACGTTCATGAAGGCCTGCATAGCACCATGTTGTACATGCTACTCGTAGACTTGTGTTGAACACATGCTGCTAGATATGTACAGAGGCTTCCTTTTCAAATCATGTATTGCATGTCAACACACTTAATACCCTAGTGAAAACCACAGTTAATATAATATACGCATGAAAATTACCTTGATAGGAAACATTCTCAGGGATAAATTTAGAACCATCCCACTCTGCTTTTGACATTATTTTATCAGAAAATTCTGGCACACATGTACCTGGACAGCCGCCACACCCTGAGCAATACTGCTACGCTAAACCAATTTATGGAACCAAATTCTACGGACAGAACCCGCCAGATTACTTCAGAAAATCCTTTGCCGGCATTGAAGCAACACAAGTTGATGAAGAAGATCATGAAGATGAAGAGTCAGCAGTAGTTTCTGAGATCTTCCATGGCTTTCTTGCAATTGGCACCCTTGGCTCAGACCCTAATGTCAGTACCCCATCAACACCGACATTCACCATCTCCTTAGAGAATGAGACTGGAAAGGAAACAGAGGTAACAGAAAGAGAACTGAAACTCCTTAATGATAATTTGGAGAAGATTCTTGGAGCTGAAGTCAAAGAAGAGATATGTGATGCCTCTTCGGGGAGAAACAGTCATGTCAGTGCTGGCAGAAGCAGCCAAGGAAGTACCATCACTCTAACTGGGAAGACTTTGGAGATTCCGGAGACCAACCGCAGTGGAAGTAATGTCTGTCCTCTCCAGGGATATCTCTTTGGATCAGCAATTGAAATGTCGGAAACAACAACAGCAAAGAAGGAACATAGGACATCTCTGAGAGAGCTGTTTCAAAAGACTAAAATAACGGATGAGTACAGTGGAGGAAGGTGTGAGAGAGATGAAAAACGAACAGAGAAGGATGCACATAAATCAGCAGTCAATATGATGAAAAAGATGCTGAAGAAAAAAGTTCCACAAGTATCCAGAAGCTCCACAGCAGCATATGCTCGAGAAGCAAATTCATCCTCGGCGGAAACAAAACTTAACAAGGTACACCTAATAAACTCTAAAACGATATCCTCAGTTCCATTCTTCATAAGGCTGTGACAGATAATTAACTTTGACAGTAACAGTATAACATTTGAGGTAAGATATGAAGCTAATTATTGATGAAAGCAAGATACTGACAACGGCTAGTTATATGAGTTTTGATCAACATGACAAGAAATCTCTGGCCTCTAAGCTTCGGCAGTGAATGTACAAGGATATCGGTTTGCTTTCAGGAAGAAGGAAAGAAGGTAACCGTAAGAAAACAAACGAGTTAGTTTTCATAGAAAAAAACAGAAGTCTAGCCAAGATTAAATCAGATTCAAGTTGCAACTATTCCTGAGAGTGCCATCACATTGTAAGCAAACAATCCTTATTATGGAATGGTAGTACCTTTGATGCATTCAAGTCATTCCATTTCCGGACACTATGTATATAACCTGCATGATTAACACACCATGGTAAACTGAACATGAACATCTTCAACAAGGAAGAGACGGTAATTGGACTATTCTATCGACTATTTCAGTAAAAACTCACCACAGAGGGCAGCTAAAATCAGACAACAATTTTCAGAATTTATTGACGATGCATGTGATAAATTCTTTTACAAATCTATATTCGATTTGAGCCGTTGGTGGTAACGGGAAAATGTTTTGCATCTCATGCTACGCTATTTAGGATCTTTCTACAAACTTTTAGCGAACAAAATATCCAACTTGCTATAGGCCACGAGTACAGTGTACTAGTGGCAAACAGCAGTACATGACAATTGAAATGTCGAAACAAAGCCATAGACATTGAGGTGATTAGGCGTCTCTCATGAGCGACCGTACCCAAATTGATCTTAGACCATTGGTTACCTATACCTTTCATAGACGCGATGCATAAGAATCAAAAGGATGATCATTAAAAGCTGTAAACAATGCAGGATCATATCATAGAAATTCCTAACCCGTTTGACAAAACCATGGGGATGCACCTATGCAATGTTCACTTCTTACATCAAGAAATGAGGACCCACTGGCAAGCAATCACATGAGTTGATCTTGATAACCACAATCTTGTAATTATCTCTGTGTTTCTCTCAAGCCATCTTACTTTTGGCTACTAGAGACTTGGAAGAGCTGCTTATATTCCTGAAAAAAAGAGCTCGGTTTACTCACAGAGGCGCTTTACTCAAAAACCTTTTTGTTTCAACAGAGCAAGTTCCAAAGTAGCAAAGCAGGAGATATATCATGAAGGTAATTACCAAAATCCATTATACTGAGTAATAATGATCTTCCATGCTGTTGTTAACTCCTAAAACTCTCTGATGCAGTTACTGGGCTGGATGCACCGGAAGTTCAGACAGAATAGCAATGAATCACTCAAGGATTTTGTCATTGGTTAGTGCTCCTCTGCCATGGTTTTGCATATGAAAGTGTAAAAGTAGAGATATGGACCCCCAATGTTACATTTGGAATTGATTAGGATGACGTAGAAAATCTGAAAATGGGGAAATAACGTTCATGAAGGCCTGCATAGCACCATGTTGTACATGCTACTCGTAGACTTGTGTTGAACACATGCTGCTAGATATGTACAGAGGCTTCCTTTTCAAATCATGTATTGCATGTCAACACACTTAATACCCTAGTGAAAACCACAGTTAATATAATATACGCATGAAAATTACCTTGATAGGAAACATTCTCAGGGATAAATTTAGAACCATCCCACTCTGCTTTTGACATTATTTTATCAGAAAATTCTGGCACACATGTACCTGGACAGCCGCCACACCCTGAGCAATACTGCTACGCTAAACCAATTTATGGAACCAAATTCTACGGACAGAACCCGCCAGATTACTTCAGAAAATCCTTTGCCGGCATTGAAGCAACACAAGTTGATGAAGAAGATCATGAAGATGAAGAGTCAGCAGTAGTTTCTGAGATCTTCCATGGCTTTCTTGCAATTGGCACCCTTGGCTCAGACCCTAATGTCAGTACCCCATCAACACCGACATTCACCATCTCCTTAGAGAATGAGACTGGAAAGGAAACAGAGGTAACAGAAAGAGAACTGAAACTCCTTAATGATAATTTGGAGAAGATTCTTGGAGCTGAAGTCAAAGAAGAGATATGTGATGCCTCTTCGGGGAGAAACAGTCATGTCAGTGCTGGCAGAAGCAGCCAAGGAAGTACCATCACTCTAACTGGGAAGACTTTGGAGATTCCGGAGACCAACCGCAGTGGAAGTAATGTCTGTCCTCTCCAGGGATATCTCTTTGGATCAGCAATTGAAATGTCGGAAACAACAACAGCAAAGAAGGAACATAGGACATCTCTGAGAGAGCTGTTTCAAAAGACTAAAATAACGGATGAGTACAGTGGAGGAAGGTGTGAGAGAGATGAAAAACGAACAGAGAAGGATGCACATAAATCAGCAGTCAATATGATGAAAAAGATGCTGAAGAAAAAAGTTCCACAAGTATCCAGAAGCTCCACAGCAGCATATGCTCGAGAAGCAAATTCATCCTCGGCGGAAACAAAACTTAACAAGGTACACCTAATAAACTCTAAAACGATATCCTCAGTTCCATTCTTCATAAGGCTGTGACAGATAATTAACTTTGACAGTAACAGTATAACATTTGAGGTAAGATATGAAGCTAATTATTGATGAAAGCAAGATACTGACAACGGCTAGTTATATGAGTTTTGATCAACATGACAAGAAATCTCTGGCCTCTAAGCTTCGGCAGTGAATGTACAAGGATATCGGTTTGCTTCAAAGCCGTATTTTGATACTTTTAGTTGCATGTGGCATGTTTTTCATGTTTCCGTACATGGCATGTAGATCCTACACATATTTCACAGAAAAGTGCATCCTGAAAGTTCAACAGCAAGTAAAATGCCCATGAAACTCCCCAAAGACAAAAAGAAGCACAGGAGCATCTCTTCTGATGGTGCAAGCAATGATGAAGGCTGGACTTTCCCGAAAAGTGACACTATGGCACTTGCTCAGGGTGCCATTCCTGATGACAAGGGGACAAGAAACTGCTACAAGAGCCAGTTCAATACTCAGTTCACTTTAAAAAGTGACTCAAACGGGAACAGGGAGTTCTGGATCAAATCAGATGCAGACTGTAAGTTAAAAAAAGAAGAAGCCACATTCTCTATCATAAAACCCATGCCATCTAACACCACAGTTGTATATACTCAATCTTTGACTGTTGCTGCAGATTTGGTATTGGAGCTCTAAGTCAAACGCTCGGCTGCTGGATGGTTATTGGTTATCAGTGGTCAGTCTCAAGTATGAGGCACTACCCTATCATCAAATCTACTTATTAATGTTTACCCTTGTCCATATATGAACCATATGGTGTGCATGTCTAAGAGAATCCGAGACCGAGAATAAGAAATTATCGTGTGTGTGTGTGTGTTCTGTCGTGTATTTCCAACCCCCATGTTGATTATTGTGGTGTATGCTCATTGCTCAATGTTTCTTGCCCCCAGAATCAAACCATAAACCAAATTTCATTTGCCAGGCAGAGAAATCGTCAGCGTATTATCGAAAAGGGTGGAATAGAAATAATGGTAATGTATGGTGAAGATACAGACAAAAGGGAACAGACAAAAGATGGAAGCCGCCATATCTCGTCGGCTGTAAGATCCGAATGGCATCAGGACAGATATAAAGATCAAGACGTTAAAAGACACAACAACTCTAACCATTGTCCTAATGTGAAACAGCGAGCTGCAAGATAGCAACATCGACCAGACAAGAGTTATCGCCATTGTCGAAAACACATAAAAAAGTCTAGGCATCGTGATAACATCATCATACATACCCAATATAGATTTGGATTCCCACCTCGAGCAATACCGCTCTCGGAGGAGTAAAATCACGGAATCAGAGACACAGAAATGCAAAACCACAAAAAAGAAGATATTAGCAGGAAAAAAAAACCATTTTCTCCAATTTGCAGAATGCGACGAAAGGAAGATACCGGAAGACGTTTCGTCACTCGTTTTCTCGGCAACCAAACAGGAAATCCACCCGTTGGGGAGGGGGTAGCAATAACATTACAAAAAAAAAACGTAATTAGAATGCCAGAAAAAAAAACCATTTTCTCCAATTTGCAGAATGCGACGAAAGGAAGATACCGGAAGACGTTAAGTCACTCGTTTTCTCGGCAACCAAACAGGAAATCCACCCGTTGGGGAGGGGTAGCAATAACATTACAAAAAAAAAAAGTAATTAGAATGCTAGAGTTTCCGTCGGGAATTTTACTCAAATCACCCACTTGGGTCGCACCTATTTCACGTATACACCAGAAAAAACATAACACTTTCTTTTTTGTTGAAAAGACGAAATTACCCTTAATGAATACGCGATTTTTATCCGTTCGAAAACAACTTCGTAATTAATTCTAAATATAATTACAATTGATTCTAAAAAAGGTGGCAAAAAAATCATATGTTTTATTTTAGTTGTATATCAGTTATATGTTAGTCGTAATAAGGTCGCAAAAAATAAAACGAA